ATTGAATGATTCTCTAGTGTAATGTCTAAAGTGAGGACAAAAGAGCGAGTTTGGTCACATATTAAGATTATAAGACTAAACTGCATGAAATGTCATCAGTCTACAGGCATTTCCCTGTATTTCTCTGTTGCAATCATTATATCATAATAATTAATCCTGAAAAAGCAAAGCAAAGCAATCACTAGTAGATTATATGATATAAATACAACACTACAACATACACAAGAGAGAGATCGACTTAGAAACAGGTAAGAAAACGTAACTGTTTTATAATGATTTGATCATTGGATGGATGGATGGATGGATGGATGGATGGATGGATGGATGGATGGATGGATGGATGGATGGATGGATGGATGGATGGATGGATGGATGGATGGATGGATGGATGGATGGATAGATAGATAGATAGATAGATAGATAGATAGATAGATAGATAGATAGATAGATAGATAGATAGATGATAGATAGATAAATAGATAGATAGATAGATAGATAGATAGATAGATAGATAGATAGATAGATAGATAGATAGATAGATAGATAGATAGATAGATAGATAGATAGATAGATAGATAGATAGATAGATAGATAGATAGATAGATAGATAGAGAACAGTTCTGTCTGGTTCTTGAATCTGATTGGCTGATAGCCCTGTGATATTCTTCCAGTAACAGCACTGGTCCAGCCTTTTAACCCTTGGTTATTACTCTGCCCACATAAGGACACTCTATTGCAGCTGCTGAACAACATAATCTAGTTTTGGGGCTTTTTGGGTGTGAATGTAGTTCTTTAGATTGCAACTATGCAGTTAATTTATATAAGGATAGTGCCTATATTTTAAAATGTTTATAATTTCTGAAATTTAGCAGGTCAGCAGCCTGTCATACTGATTAGACCGTGGACAGTTAATGTTGTCCATCCACAGATATATATATATATATATACATACATACATATATATACATACATATATATATATATATCTATATCTATATATATATATATATATATATATATATATATATATACTCAATATTGCATTACATAAACTTGTACTTGCAATTCCAAGTTACATGTCATATAGTGAGTCCACAAGCACAGTTGAAGACAAAATTATTAGCAGTGTGTGAAATTTTACTTCATATATATGTGTAATCATAAGCACCTTAAGATATGTATAAACTTTATTGAGCACAATTCTGTTGTTATTCCTCCTATTCTGGCTTTACTTGTTAAAACTTCACTTTATTATTACAATTTTCTCAGTACAAATGATGGTATTTCGAGTAAATGTAATAATCCTGAAATATAATCTTCTAATTGCTGGAAAAAGGTTTTATATTACCTTTCTGTTTAATTCAAGAATGATTGTAAATACTTTCCTCAAATACATCAAATACAAATGGCTGCAGGTTTCAGATGACAAATCCACTAGAGGGCGCTGTCTACATTATTGCCAAGCCTGTGTTACGTGTGAACGCTGTACAGGGACTCACGTGTCTTGCGTGCTGAATCCTCCACAAACAGAGATGAAATGTCTTCATCCACGCCGACCTCGTTTCTGGCGATGCAGGTATAAGCGCCGGTGTCCTCGTATCTCACACTGCTGATGTGAAGCTCGCTGCCGTTCGCTGAGAAAATAAAACAACACACCGTCTGACCATGATTCAGATCCTCTTCTGTGTGCTCGCACAAAAAAAACGCCTCCAACACAATCAACAAGCATCCACAGCGCAATAAACATCCATCTCTGCAGAAGCTTTGAGCTGTTTGCTCCCGCAGTCCACCAATAACATTTTTTCATTGGCAGGGCTTTGGGTGAAGGTTTTCTTAAAAGCCATAAAGGTTTCCCTGCGGTGCAGATAATACTGTGTGTGCCAAGATATAGAGCCCAATACCTGGATTTATTGAGTGTTTGGCCAGAAAATGGTTCTTTCTTTCAAACACTGAACAAAGGAAATGAAGATGATGCTGGCAAAATGAGCATCTCTAATAGG